TTTTTTCTGCCTTGTTCTCTTCTCCTACTGGACTCCCATTATGTATATATTGGGATTCTTGACAGTGTCCCACAGGTCTCTAAGGCTCTGTTCATTTTTCTTTATTCTTTTTCCTTCTCAGATTGGATATTCTGTATCGACCTGCCTTTCGGTTCACTGATTCATTCTTCTTCCAGCTCAAATCTGTTGTTGAGCCCGTGTGGTGAATTCCAGTTATGGCACTTTCAGGTGTAGAATTTCTGTTTGATTCTTTTAATCATGTTATTGCGATTGTCTATTTGGGGAGATAAGACGGTTCTAATTTTAAAAATTCTTCAGATATCCCTTTCTTTAATTCTTTAAACATATTTATAATACCTTCTTTAAAGTCTTTGTCTATTATGTGGCTGGTTAGCTCAGCTGGTTAGAGTGTGGTGCTAATAAAATCTGTCTATCAAGTTTAAAATCTTGGTCCCCTCAGGGACATTTTCAGTTGGCTGCTTTTTTTCCCTTCCTATGCATGTGGCATACTTTCCTGTTTCCTTGCCTGTTTTTTTTTTTTGTATGGAACGCTTCACGAATTTGCGTGTCATCCTTGCGCAGGGGCCATGCTAATCTTCTCTGTGTCGTTCCAATTTTAGTATATGTGCTGCCGAAGCGAGCACTCCTTGCATGTTTTGTAATTTATTTGTTAAAAACTGCACATTTTAGACAATGATATTATAACAATTTGGGTAGCAAATCCCTATACGTTTCAAAGTGTGTTGTTGCTGCTGTTTTTGTTTTTGCTTTTTTTCCATTTTGGTGGTTAGTGCTTTTCTTGTTGCTGTTAATTTGTTTAGCAGCTTTCCTTTACTAGTTTTGTGGTTTCTGTCTTTCCTGTAACACGTGACCACTGAGTTATCTTTTTTTTTAATTTTTTTTTTTTTTTTTTTTTTTTTTTTTTTTTTTTTTTTTTTTTTTGAGACAGAGTCTCGCTCTGTTGCCTGGGCTAGAGTGCTGTGGCGTCAGCCTAGCTCACAGCAACCTCAGACTCCTGGGCTCAAGGGATCCTTCTGCCTCAGCCCCCCAAGTACCTGAGACTACAGGCATGCGCCACCATGCCCGGCTAATTTTTTCTATATATTTTTAGTTGTCCAATTAATTTCTTTCTAATTTTAGTAGAGACGGGGTCTCGCTCTTGCTCAGGCTGGTTTCGAACTCCTGACCGCCCGCCCGCCTCGGCCTCCCAGAGAGCTAGGATTACAGGCGTGAGCCACCACGCCCGGCCTAAGTTCTTTTTAAGTCTGGATTTTTGGGGTCACATCTGAGTCCGTGTGATTGTATGGTGAGCTAGTCACTGGCCAGAAGATTTCCTCACATGCCTGTCCTGTGCGTCTCAGCCCTGTCGTGGAGGGTCTGTGGGAAACGGCGCGCTGCCCAACTTCAGGGAGCTCGCAGGACGGACTGAGCTTCCCTTCCCGGGTGCACCGTGCTCACGCTCAACCCAGTGAGGACAGACTGGTGCCTGCTCCTTCCCGGGTCTTTCCTGGGCATGCGCTTAGCCTAGCCACATGCGCACACAGACTCTTCCATCCCTAGAAATTTGTCAGCTTGTCAAGTTCCTAGGTCCTCTAATTCTTCAGGATTTCCTTTCAGATTCTGGGCCAGGCTCCTGTTTACTGCAAACGTAGTCACAGCATCAGGCAGCTGAGGAGTTGCCAGCAGGTTGTTACTGTTAGGGGAATGCCCCAGGGGTAGCCGCCACCTGCCACCTTCTCTGCCCCCTCTACCTCCAGCTTAGCTCTGCATCGCATCTAGAGATTTCCCCGAATGCTGCAAGTCCAGGCACGACTGTGTCGTGAGGATGGCATTTTTCACAGGGTTCCAGGGGCGCCAGATCTCATGGCCGTCTGCAAGGCTGGGGCCTTGGCTGCCTCGCCACTGCGCTGGGGAGGCCGGGCAGCGGGAGTAGCCCAGGCCACGCCGCATAGACCCACTGCCTTACCAAGGTTCACTGGGTTCTTTCGGATACTTTCTCACTTAATTCTGTGGCTCTGATTAATTCCCAGAGTTGTGAAATGATTGATTTTAGTTGTTTTGCCCACATTTTGTTGGTGTAAGGGGAGGCGCGTTCATCCCCACCCTCATTCCACCATCCTGGAAGTGGATTCTCCAGTATGTTGCCTTTCGAGCCTGGCTTCCTCCACTTGGCAGCATGTACTGGAGATGGGCCTGCGTGTGTGGGGGCATCAGTCGGCTCTTTTTATGGTTGAATAGTATATGAGAGTTTTTAGAGTTGTAGAGGTGTCTTTTTATTCATTTGGGGTTAAGATGTATATGTACATTTAAAAGGGGATGTTGTCAGAGAGATTGGGAACCTTGGGCCTGCCAGAGCTCCTGGGGAATTTGGGGAATTTCAGGTCCCATGGCAATGGGGCAGGTGAGTGCTCTTCGGGGGTAGGAGGAACGGGAGCCTGTGCTCTCTGGCAATCCTGGGGGCTGCAGGGGCGCAGGCACCCCTGCCCTGTGGCAGGCCCTAAGGGCTGTAGAGTTGTGACTTGTAGGCTGTGAACCATGACACTATCGTCCCCTCCCCCCCAGGAATAGGAGGTGGCACCACATAGACCAGATGGCTCTGGCACAGTAGGCACCACCCACACCTAGAGCAGGTATAAGTCCTGGCTCTAGCCTTCGAGCTGCACGAAATGCAGGGACTTCTCCTAGAAAATGATCGTGATGGTACCTGGTTACCACCAGTATTTATTTATTCCTCAGATGTTTACTGAGTGCCTAGTGTATTCTGGGCACAGTTCCAGGAACAGAAACACAGCCGTAACCCAGATTCTGCTATCATGGAGTTTAGTTCTTCTGACACAAGGACAGAACGAACAGGTGTGTACCCATTTATACACATGCACATGCACGCACGCACCCATAGTGCTCTGAAGAGAAATACAGCAAG